CGATCCGAGGAACATGCATAGACCTAGTATTTGAAATTGCCCACTGCAACAAACAGGAACCACTCTCCCTTCATTTCACAGACCATAAAGCCGTCATAATGAAGGGACATCGCAAGCCATCCATCGTCTAAGAACAACTAAAAGTTGATTTGTGTATATACACACACAGCGTTTCTCACGTCTTTACATGATGATCGACTGGGCGAATTACACGGAAGATTCACAGTTTACCGATGAATCCCTCCCGAGCTTCGCCCATTCATCATCATTTACCCCGTGAATATGCCATAATTTTTTAATAGTTTTCATATTCAGTCATGAGGTTGTGTACTCATACTGGCGACACCCTAGCTCGAAAACATTTGTTTACTGGAGGTATGTGCAGGGAACATTCTTTTAGGCACCGTTCTTACGTGCGACCGCGTTCTCCAGTGGCGCAATTCGTTAGTGCACGGTACTTATACAACAGTTATCGTAAGCTATGCCGGGGTTGTGAGTTCGAGCCTCTCCTGGCGAAATAAACTTTTATTAGTTTTAATATTTAGTCATAAGGTTAATTGTATACTCAAGGCTGGCGATTTCCTGGCTGGAAAACATTTGCTTACTGAAGCTATGTGCAGGGAACATTTTTAGGCCATTACTTCTATGTGCCACCGTATTCCCCAGTGGCTCAATTGGTTAGCGCACGGGGCTTATGCGACAGTTATCGTGAGCTATAGTGGGGTTGTGAGCTCGAGCCTCACCTGGGGAATGAAATTTTTATTAGTTTTTTCATTAGTGATGAGGTTGATTGTATACTCAATGCAGGCGACTTCCTGGCTCGAAAACATTTGTTTACTGGAGTTGTGTGTAGACAACAGTACTAAAGGAAACACGCCTACGTGCAACCGTATTTTCCAATGCAGCAATTGGTTAGCGCACCATACTTATACGACAGTTAACGTGAGCTAAGCCTGGGTTGTGAGTTCGAGCCTCACCTGGGGAATGAAATTTTTATTAGTTTCCATAATTAGTCATGAGGTTAATTGTATACTCAAAGCTGGCGACTTCCTGGTTCGAAAACATTTGTTTACTGGAGGTATGTGCAGGGAACATTCTTTAAGGCACCGCTCCTACGTGCGACCATGTTCCACAGTGGCGCAATTGCTTAGCGCACGGTACTTATACGACAATTCTCGTCAGCTATGGCGTGCTTATGCGTTCGAGCCTTCCTGGGGAATAAAATTTTTATTAGTTTTCATATTTAGTCTTGAGGTTATTTGTATACTCAATGCTGGCGACGGCCTGGCTCGAAAACATTTGTTTACTGGAGTTGTGTGCACACAACATTACTTAAGGAAACACTCCTACATACAACTGTATTCCCCAGTAGGGCAATTGGTTAGCGCACCGTACTTATACGACAGTTATCGTGAACAATGCCTGGGTTGCGAGTTCGACCCTCACCTGGGGAAGGAAATTTTATTAGTTTTCATATTTAGCCATGAGGTTGTGTATTCATACTGGGGACTTCCTGGCTCGAAAACGTTTGTTTACTGGGCGTATGTGCAGGGCACATTCTTTAAGGCACCGCTCCTAAGTGCGACCGTGTTCCCCAGTGGCGCAATTGGTTAGCGCACCGTACTTAAACGACAGTTATTGTGAGCTATGCCGGGGTTGTGAGTTCGAGCTCACCTTAGAATGAAATTTTTATTAGTTTTCATAACTATACGTCAGGTTGTTTGTATGCTCAAAGCTGGCGTCTTCCTGGTTCGAAAACATTTGTTTACTGGAGGTATGTGCAGGGAACATTATTTAAGGCACCGCTCCTACGTGCAACCGTATTCCCAGTGGCGCAATTGGTTAGCCCACGGTACCTATACCACAGCTCTCGGGAGCTATGCCGAGTTGTGAGTTCGAGCCTCACCAGGGGAACGAAATTTTTATTAGTCTTCATATTTAGTCATGAGGTTGTATACTCAATGCTGGCGACTGCCTGGCTCGAAAACATTTGTTTACTGGAGTTCTGTGTAGACAACAGTACTAAAGGAAACACTCCTACGGGCATCCGTATTCCCCAGTGGCGCAATTGGTTAGCGCACCGTACTTATACGACAGTTTTCTTGAGCTATGCCTGGGTTTTAACTTCGAGCCTTACCAGGAGAATGAACTTTTTATTACTTTTTGTATTTATTCATGAGGTCTTGTACTCATACTGGCGACTTCCTGGCTCGAAAACATTTGTTTACTGGGGGTATGTACAGGGAACATTCATTCTTGCACCGCTCCTACGTGCAGCCATATTCCCCAGTGACGCAACTGGTTAGCACACGGTACTGTACGACAGTTCTCGAGAGCTATGCCAGGGTTATGAGTTCGAGCCCCACTTGGGAATGAAATTTTATTAGTTTTCATCATTAGTCTTGATGTTGTATACTCAATGCTGGCGACTTTCTGGCTCGAAACCATTTGTTTACTGGAGGTATCTGCAGGGAACATTTTTAAAGTACTGCTCCTACGTGCGACCGTGTTCCCCAGTGGCGCAATTGTTAGCGCACGGTTTAATACGACAGTTCTCGTGAGCTATGCTGAGTGCGAGTGTCGAGCCTCAACTGGGGAATTAAATTGTTATTAGCTTTCAAATTTAGCATGAGGTTAATGTATACCTCATACTGGCGACTGCCTGGCCTCAAAACTTTTCTTTACTGGAGTTTGGGTGTAGGACAACACTCCTAAGGGAAACACTTCTCCGTGCACCCTAATCTGCAGTGGCTCAATTTGGTTAGTCGCACAGGTACCTTATACTGACAGGAGTTATGTAAGCTATGCCGGGGTTGTGAGTTCGAGCCTCTCCTGGCAAATAACCTTTTATTACTTTTATTATTTAGTCATGAGGTTAATTGTATAGTTAATGCTGGCGACTTCCTGGCTCGAAAACACTTGTTTACTGGAGTTGTGTGTAGACAACAGTACTAAAGGAAACACTTTTACGTGCAACCGTATTCCCCAGTGGCGCAATTGGTTATCGCATCCTTCTTATACGACAGTTATCGTGAGCCATGCCTGGGTTGTGAGTTCGAGCCTCACCTGGAGATGAATTTTTTATTAGTTTTAATATTTTTTGTCATGAGGTATTGTATACTCAATGCTGGTGACTGCCTGGCTCGAAAACACTTGTTTACTGGAGTTGTGTGTAGACAACAGTACTAAAGGACACACGCCTACGTGCAACCGTATTCTTCAATAGAGCAATTGGTTAGCGCACCATACTTATACGACAGTTAAGGTGCGCTAAGCCTTGATTGTGAGTTCGAGCTTCACCTGGGGAATGAAATTATTATTAGTTTCCATAATTAGTCATGAGGTTATTTGTATACTCAAAGCTGGCGACTTCCTGTTTCGAAAACATTTGTTTACTGGAGGTATGTGCAGGGAACATTTTTAAGGCACTGCTCCTATGTGCCAGCGTATTCCTCAGTGGCTCATATGGTTAGCGCTCGGTACTTATACGACAGTTATCGTGAGTTATGCCTTGGTTGTGAGTTTGAGCCTTGTCTGTGAAATGAAAGTTTTGTTAGTTTTCATTATTAGGCATGAGGTTAATTGTATACTCAATGCTGGCGACTGCCTGGCTCGAAAATACTTGTTAACTGGAGGTATGTGCAGGGAACATTCTTTAAGGCCGCGCTCCTACGTGTGACCGTGTTCCCCAGTGGCGCAATTGGTTAGCGCATGGTACTTATATGACAGTTATCGTGAGCTATGCCTGGGTTGTGAGTTCAAGCCTCACCTGGGGAATGAAATTTTTATTAGTTTTCATCATTTGTCATGAGGTTGCATACTCAATGCTGGCGACTTCCTGTCCCGAAAACATTTGTTTATGGGGGGTATGTGCAGGGAACATTCTTTAAGGCACCGCTCCTACTTGCGACCTTGTTCTCCGGTGGCGCAATTGCTTAGCGCATGGTACTTATACGACAGTTCTCGTTAGCTATGGCGTGCTTGTGAGTTCGAGCCTCCCTGGGGAATAAAATTTTTATTATTTTTCATATTTAGTCTTGAGGGGAATTGTATACTCCATGCTGGCGACTTCCTGGTTCGAAAACAATTGTTTACTGAAGTTGTGTGTAGACAACAGTACTAAATAAAACAGTCCAACGTGCGACCGTGTTTCCAGTGGCGCAATCAGTTAGCGCACGGTACTTATACGACAGATTTCGTGAGCTATGCCGGGGTTGTGATTTCGAGCCTCACCTGGGGAATGAAATTTTTATTAGTTTTCATAATTAGTCTTGAGGTTGTATACTCAATGCTGGGGACTTCTTGTCCCGAAAACGTTTGTTTACTGAAGGTATGTGCAGGGAACATTCTTTAAGGCACCGCCACCACGTGCGACCGTGTTTCCAGTGGTGCAATCAGTTAGCGCACGGTACTTATACGACAGATTTCGTGAGCTATGCCGGGGTTGTCATTTCGTGCCTCACCTGGGGAATGAAATTTTTATTAGTTTTCATAATTAGTCTTGAGGTTGTATACTCAATGCTGGCGACTTCTTGTCCCGAAAACATTTGTTTACTGAAGGTATGTGCAGGGAACATTCTTTAAGGCACCGCCACCACGTGCGACCGTGTTCCCCGTGGCGATATTGCTTAGCGCACGGTACTTATACGACAGTTCTCGTGAGCTATGCTGGGGTTGTGTGTTCGAGTCTCACCTAGAGAATGAAATTTTTATTAGTACTCATATTTAATCATGTGGTTATCGTATACTCAATGCTGGCAACTGCCCAGCTCGAAAACATTTGTTTACTGAAGTTGAGTGTAGACAACAGTACTAAAGGAAACACTCCTACGTGAAACACTATACCCCAGTGGCGCAATTGGTTAGCGCACCGTACTTATACGGCAGTTATCGTGAGCTATGCCTGGGTTGTGAGTTCGAACATCACCTGGGGAATAAAATTTTTATTAGTTTTTATTATTTATTCATGAGGTTGTGTACTCATTTTGGGGAGTTTCTGGCTCGAAAACATTTGTTTACTGGAGGTATGTGCAGCGAACATCATTCTTGCAGCGCTCCTACGTGCAACCATATTCCCCAGTGACGCAATTGTTTAGCGCACGGTACTTATACGACAGTTCTCTGGAGCTATGCTGGGGTTGTGAGTTCGAGCCCCACCTGGGAAATGAAATTTTTATTAGTTTTTATAATTAGTCATGAGGTTAATTGTATACTCAAAGCTGGCGACTTCCTGGTTCGAAAAACATTTCTTTACTGGAGGTATGTGCAGGGAACATTCTTTAAGGCACCGCTCCTACGAGTGACCATGTTCCCCAGTGGCGCAATTGGTTAGCGCGCGAAACTTATACGACAGTAATTTTGAGCTATGCCAGGGTTGTGAGTTCGAGCCTCAACTGGGAATGGAATTTTATTAGTTTTCATCATTTGTCATGAGGTTGTATACTCAATGCTGGTGACATCCTGTCCCGAAAACATTTGTTTACTGCGGGTGTGTGCAGGGAACATTCTTTAAGGCACCACTCCTACTTACGACCATGTTCCCCAGTGGCGCGTGCGCTTAGTGCACGGTACTTATACGACAGTTCTCGAGAGCTATGCATGGGTTGTGAGTTCGAGCCCCACATGGGAATGAAATTTTTATTATTTTTCTTCATTAGTCATGAGGTTGTATACTCAATGCTGGCGACTTCATGGCTCGAAAACATTTGTTTACTGGAGGTATGCTCAGAGAACATTCTTAAAGCACTGCTCCTACGTGCGACCATGTTCCCCAGTGGCGCAATTGGTTAGCGCATGGTTTTTATACGACAGTTCTCGTGAGCTATGCCTGAGTTGCGAGTTCGAGCCTCACCTGAGGAATAAGTTTTTTATTAGTTTTCATATCTAGTCATGAGGTTGTGTACTCATCCTGGCGACACCCTGGCTCGAAAACACTTGTTTACTGGAGTTGTGTGTAGACAACAGTACTAAAGGAAACACGCCTACGTGCAACCGTATTCCCTAATGGAGCAATTGGTTTGCGCACCATACTTATACGAGAGTTCTCGTGAGCTATGCCGGAGTTGTGAGTTCGAGCCTCACCTTGGGAATTAAATTGTTATTAGTTTTCATAATTATTCATGAGGTTAATTGTATACTCAAAGCTGGCGACTTCATGTCCCGAAAACATTTGTTTACTAGAGGTATGTGCAGGGAACAATTTTTAATGCACCGCTCTTACGTGCGACCGTGTTCGCCAGTGGCGCAATTGGTTAGCGCACCGTACTTATACGACAGTTATCGTGAACTATGCCTGGGTTGTGAGTTCAAGCCTCAACTGGGCAAGAAAAATTTTATTAGTTTTCATATTTAGTCATGAGGTTGTGTACTCATACTGGCGACTTCCGGGCTCGAAAACATTTGTTTACTGGAGGTATGTGGAGGGAACATTCTTTAAGGCACCGTTCCTACGTGCGACTGCGTTCCTCAGTGGCGCAATTGGTTAGTGCACGGTACTTATACGACAGTTCTCGTGAGCTATGCCGGGGTTCTGAGTTTGAGCCTCACCTTTCGGTATTAAATTTTTATTAGTTTTCATAATTAGTCATGAGGTTTATTGTATACTCAAAGCTGGCGACTTGTTGTCCCGAAAACATTTGTTTACTGGAGGTATGTTCAGGGATCATTCTTTAAGGCACCGCTCCGTCGTGTGACCTTGTTCCCCAGCGGCGCAGTTGCTTAGCGCACGATACTTATACGACAGTTTTAGTTAGCTATGGCGTGCTTGTGAGTTCGAGCCACCCTTGGGAATAAAATTTTTATTAGTTTTCATATTTAGTCATGAGGTTAATTGTATACTCAATGCTGGCGACTGCCTGGCTCGAAAACTTTTGTTTACTGGAGTTGTGTGTAGACAACAAAACTAAAGGAAACACTCCTACGTGCAACAGTATTCCCCAGTGGCGCAATTGGTTAGCGCACCGTATTTATACGACAGTTTTCGTGAGCTATGCCGGGGTTTTGAGTTCGAGCCTCACCTGGGGAATGAAATTTTGATAAGTTTTCATTATTTGTCATGAGGTTGTATACTCAATGCTGGCGACTTCCTGCCCCGAAAACATTTGTTTTCTGGGGGGTATGTGCAGGAAACTTTCTTGAAGGCACCACTCCTACGTGCGACCGTGTTCCCCAGGGGCGCAATTTCTTAGCGGACGGTACTTACACGAACGTTCTCGTGAGCTATGCCGGGGTTTTGAGTTCGAGCCTCACCTGCGGAATGAACTTTTTATTAGTTCTCATATTTAGTCATGAGGTTGTATACTCAATGCTGGCAACTGCCTGGCTCGAAAACATTCGTTTACTGAAGTTGTGTGTAGAACAATACTAAAGGAAGCACTCCTATGTGCAACTGTATTCGCCTGTGGCGCAATTGGTTAGCGCACCGTACTTATACGACAGTTTTCTTGAGCTATGCCTGGGTTGTAAGTTCGAGCCTCACCAGGGGAATGAACTTTTTATTAGTTTTTGTATTTAGTCATGAGGTCTTGTACTCATACTGGCGACTTCCTGGCTCGAAAACATTTGTTTACTTGGGGTATGTACAGGGAACATTCATTCTTGCACCGCTCCTACGTGACACCATATTCCCCAGTGACGCAATCGGTTAGCACACGGTACTTATACGACAGTTCTCGAGAGCTATGCCAGGGTTCTGAGTTCGAGCCCCACTTGGGAATGAAATTTTTATTAGTTTTCATCATTAGTCATGAGGTTGTACACTCAATGCTGGTGACCTCCTGGCTCGAAAACATTTGTTTACTGGAGGTATGTGCAGGGAACAATCTTAAAGCACTGCTCCTACGTGCGACCGTGTTCCCCAGTGGCGCAATTGGTTAGCGCACGGTTTTTATACGACAGTTCTCGCGAGCTATGCCTGAGTTGCGAATTCGAGCCTCAACTGGGAATGAGAATTTTATTAGCTTTCAAATATAGTCATGAGGTAATTGTATACTCAATACTGGCGACTGCCTGGCTCGAAAACTTTTCTTTACTGGAGTTGTGTGTAGACAACACTCCTAAAGCAAACACTTCTACGTGCAACGCTATTCCCCAGTGGCGCAATTGTTTAGCGCACGCTACTTATACGACAATTATCGTAAGCTATGCCGTGGTTATGAGTTCGAGCCTCTCCTGGCGAATTAAACTTTTATTAGTTTCAATATTGTCACGACGCAGACACAGCAGGAGTTCGATATAGAAGAGCTCACTTTAATTAAAAATGAAAGGCGCTCGGAAAGAGGACCGGGCAAGAGCTTCGTCTTCCTCTCTGGCTGTGCGAGCTCTCCTCTGCAGGTTGAATGCGGCATTTGCCTCCCTCCAGGAAGAGCATCGACCCGATGCTCGGCTGCAGAATACGCGGTGTATCTATAGTTGACGTATTACGCAACTGGCTCACTGAAATATGGCTTCATTCTCACAACGTGTACGATTTCAGATTTTTGAGCTCGCGAGGAACTGTCAGGGATGACCTCATAATTCACGTCACTTAGGCGCCGTATAACATTGTAGGGACCAAAGTACTTCTTCAGTAACTTTTCACAAAGGCCGCGTCGGCGAATAGGGCTCCAGACCCACACTTTCTCGCCAGGTTGATAAGTGACGTATCGGTGTCGCAGGTTATAACGTTGTGCGTCGTAACTCTGCTGTCGGGCGATTCGCACGCGTGCTAGCTGCCGTGCCTCTTCAGCTCGTTGAGTAAAGGCTTGAACATCCGTGTCTGTATCCTCGCAGTCGTGCAG